TAATATATATATAAATATGTATGTATATCAGGGGCGGCTCGTCCATAGAGCACGGTCGTGCACTGCCGCCCAAAAATTGTAATGCGCCCAACACCCACAAAGAGACAATAAAAGAACCTTTACCTTCCACCATCCAATCAATTGTCCGTACAAGTTCCTCGCCAGAGTTTATTCGTTCATTACAACATGCACAACAACTTTACAACATCTACTATACATATCAAGTTCTCGTGCTTCACTCAAGTAAAAGAAAATAGCATGTTCAGTGGTGTAATCTATCTCGGAAAATGCTCTATGGGCCGACCCAAACAACGGTGACGTTTTGACCGAGTTTCTTAGTTCATAAATATTAATAAGGTGGCACAATCTCGATGTGTACCAGTCGAACAAAGCCCATAGAGGCAGTCTAAAAATAACGCAATCTCCGACCAGTTCACGACAGCTTTGGAGCAATCCACCGCAGTGCTCATAGTGATGTGCGATTGGTCCATTGTCTTGTCATTTATATCTCTCGCCCCACCTCTGTGACCCTGAACTTGAACGAGGTCAACATGACGTAATTAGGTCACTGTGTTACAAGTTGGAATGGTGCAGGCCTAGTGGTGAAAGTTTTATAACCCGAGGGTGTATTCCAATGCAGGATGACCGAAGTTGAATGCAAATCAAATCAGTTCACCAAACAAAGTAACAAGAAGAGAATTGAAAGAATTAGGTCCTCACCGACCCAAAGATATCAAAATAATACAACCAACAAAAAGTGGAGTGGCTTACAGTCAGCAAATACTCATTGCAGCCCTATTGTTTCTCCTGTCTACTTTTTGGAACTGAGGACCCCAAGTAATAGTCTAAGCCTGATCTTGTCGATGTTAAACAAAGCATCAAGAGCGCACGTAAACAATGCCGTTAAGTATCATACTTTTGGACAAGTAGACATAGCAGCGCGGCTAGTCGTTGGTCATCGCATTGCAACGTCTCACAATAACGGACTAGTGAGAAAGAACAGGCACATATTGTGTAAGGTCATCGAGTGTATTTTGTTCTCTGAAACTCACCAACTCGCCCTTCGCGGTCATGAAAAGGGTGATTTGTCGGGGAACAGAGGCATTTTTCGCTAACGCTATGCAGGCTCCTCGACATTTTTTGCCCACTCAGCAAAAGGCATCGGCGTTCTCAGACGCGTTTGTCGCCGGAATATTCCATGGCCGTCGGAAACGAAGTGGAATTTACAGTCCTGACTAATCAGCACAGTCTTCATAATTTGGAAAGGAGAGATCCAGCTTTGTCTTGCAGAAATTCAGTCAGAGCTGGGGGGACGATAATTCCATCCACCATGGTGTCCTGAAAGTATTAAAGAGCGAAACATTTCTCTTCTTTTTGAGCTTTTCAACAAAGTTTTCACTTACGTTGACGCTGTGTCTATGGGACCCTCTAACACAGAAGTACAACGCCCATAGCAGCCTAACAAGCTCTAGACACGTTAAAGTAGCCGTCGATGAAATTAGAAACAGTATACGTGTTCTATCAACAAAACAGACCACAGAAAAAACGCTTCCAAGAGACGCAGACACTACAACATCAACGAAATTGCTGCAAAGCAGACTTGCGACATTGTAGTTCTTGAAGCAAAATAAATTCAACGCACTATCAATCTTCGATTCCTCCAAATTCCAGGACTACCAAAAGTCGTTTCCTACAGTTCTTTTAGGATCGTTTACAGAAATATTACTGTTTTGCACAAAATCAAGTTACAAACAGAATTATA